TATCACACACTGTCTTTGTCCCTTTTCTTCCTCTGCCATCTTACTTTTTGTATATTAATCTGTCAGCACATCAGCAGGAAGCTGTGCCTAATGTAGCGCAGCACAATGAAATTTAATCAAAACAGCGACAGCCTGCAGAATTTTCAGGGGATTCGTGCTCCTGCAGCAAACTGAATTATAATGCAAAAATTACGCAGAATTAGCGACACTGTTGTGATCACAGTCTTAATTATTTACTGCTTAATTAGTGAAGATTTCACTAATTAGGTCTAATTATTCATTTACTTTCAGAGTTTTTAAAAATAAATAAATAACAAATCTCAGTTTTGAGGAGAACAAAGTTCAATTTGCCTGAAGCTTCCATCAAATCCTCACCTCCCTGGCTGCTGGCAGGTACGTTCATGGTGGCCAGGATGCTCTGCAAGTCTCTCAGCTGGATGGGCTGCGTGGGGTTGGCTGCTGCTGCTGCCACGGAGGACACAGCAGGGGTGGAGGGGGTGGTGGCTGTTGGGGAGGCCGCTGAGGTGGCAGAGGGAGTGATGGGAGTGGTGGGAACCTGGGAGGAGCCGAGCCGACTAGCAGCGGAGGTAGAGGTTGGGGTGACGGCTGTGGACGGACTGTGGATGGAAATGTTTAGCAAAACATTATGTAAAATCACAATTTTTTTGCTATTTTTGCACAACAGAAAGAGTACTTCTCATTTTTTGTTAGTGTTTGTTTAAAAGCACATGATGAAAGACCGCTCAGCTTCAACAGTTATCGGTGTTATAGACTTTCTTGCCTAATCACATGCAGAATAATTCATTTAGTGTCAAAAATCACCTAATCTTACATGTGTAATCATGAATTATGAGTTTCATAAAGCATTTTTAGAGAATAGAACCAAAAGAAAAAAATTGGAGAAAAAATTGGAGAAACAGTTCAGATGAACACTTTACAGGGACAACAGAGGAAGAGGAGTAAAGGAGGTGTGGAAGTGTAGCTAAGCTTTTCCATCTATTCTCTTCTGCTCAGGACAGTTAGCTCCTCTGTGTTGTGCAATCCGCTTCACCAGAGGTTGTTTGGTTTCCCTGATTTATAAATCATGGCAATCCTGGCCCTTAACAGCGTACACTACATTACTCTGTTTGTGTCGGGGGACCCGATCCCTGGGGTGGACCAATTTTTGGCACAGTGTGTTTTGGGGTTTGAAAGCCACAGAGATGCTATGTTTAGAGAAAATGTGTCTCAAATGTTCCGATACTCCTGACACATAAGGGATCACTAAGGGTTTTCGCTTCAGTAGCAGTCCTTCTTTCCTGGATCGGCTGGAGCTTTCTTTATGCGCCTTCTCAGCTTTGACAAACGTCCAGCTGGGATAACCACATGTACTCAGGGCCTTCTTGATGTGACGTTCTTCTGCTTCCCTGGCCGCTTTGTCTGCGGGGATGGTGTTCGCTCTGTGTTGAAGCATCCTGATGACACCCAGTTTGTGCTCCAGTGGCTGATGAGAGTCAAACCTTAAATACTGATCCATCTGTGTTGGTTTACGGTACACATCAACTTTTAAATGTCCCCGATTACTGATGGAAATCTCAGTATAAGAAGGCTAACCTGCCATTTTTTATATCCTCCCTGGTGAACTTGATGTGTTGGTCCACTGAGCTAATGTGATCCGTGAATTGTGGTACGTCCTTGGATTTGATTTTGATCAATGGTCTTTTATTGTAAAGCACTTTGTGATTTTTATTTTTGAAAAGTGCTATATAAATACATTTTACTTACTTACTTTCTTACTTGTCAGTGGTTGTTGATCAATGGTCATGACAATTTGCATATTAATGATCAAGAAACTGACCTCACAGCCTGTTGTTTGCCAGTGGTGCTAGTTTCAGTAATTATGCAAAGGTACTGTTTTATAAGGTTGGGAAAACCTGCAGTCAGCAGAGACTGAAGAAGTTGGATGGATGAGTGATGAAATATTTCTCCCATTGAAAAAGCTACATCCAGATGAACAGAATCAACTTTTTGGGATTATGGAAATAATCATATCAGTTGGAGCTCAGAGCTTCTCTGGAAGAAAACTCATGACTCATGACAAACTGACTCAGTATTCTACTAAACTCAAAGAAGGATTTAGCTTTCAGGTTGCAAAGCAAAAGTAAACATGCATTCTTTTTCATGACCAGCAGGTGGCGACTTACAGTTGAAGTATATAAAAAAAAATGACTCCTCACTTTACCTTTGACCTTAGTGACTTTAATCTCAGTGTCAGAAAAGTCAAAATTGCTCAGCTTAAGGATTCAAAAGGGGAACTTGCTAATCATTGGGTGACACTCCATATCCATGTCCATCTTTTATATACAGTTCATGGTTAAACTGTTATTTTTAAGGTTATAGTTAATTTGAGCTCTGCTGTACTGATGCTAAAACTTTCTCTTTCATAGCCTCCCTTTTATTGGAATTTTTCATTTTATCTTGTTTTCCACCTCAAAAATATTCTGGAATCCTTCAATATATTTAACAGAAATGTAAATAAGACACCTCGTGGAGGAGTTGCTGGCTGCAGGAACGCTGCTGCTGCTGCTGCTGCTGCTACTTCCAAGAAGGTTGGCCAAGCCTGGACCAGCCAGTGTCCCGAGACCACCTGTCAATCACACAAACAGAGCTCAACAGCTCACCGATATTTTTAATGAGATGTTTTCACGCTGTTAGCTTGTGGACTCAGTCATGAAGGTACTCACCAATCCCTCCCAGTCCAGTTGGTCCAATAAGCTGCATCAGCTGGTTGTGGCTCATGTTACCCAGAAGGCTCTGCAGGCCACCCTCACCTTAACATGCAAGCAGAGAAGACAGGTGAACCCATGAAGGTGAGACAGTTCAGCTTCTTACCCACGACAGGTTTAAACTACGACACAGCGTGTTTGTTACCTCCGAGCGCAGACAGATCGTGTCCTCCGCTGCCGCCGCTGCCGAGAGCACCAGGCATGGGCGGGTTGTTCAGATACTCGTTCACTTTGCGGCAGTACTCGTCATCCTTATCAGTCTTTGGCTCCTGAGATCAGAAAAACAAAATGCCACGGTTACTGAACATTAACATTTTGAGGTGTAAAGCAGAACAAACCTTATTATTGCAATACACAAAAACAAAAGATCATGAATGTTGTTTTTTTGGTTTTGTTTTTATCCTTTGTATCCTCTCATTTCCTCTAAACGTCTGCCAAAGGCATCCGGGTCTGTTTAAGCAGTTCCCAAATGCGGACGCAAACCATCAGAAAAGATAAAAGAGAAAAAAAAAATGAAGTCAGAGTTGTGAAAGCTACCTGTCCTATGACTTCGGCTTGAATGGGAATATTGCTCACGCTGGAAACTGAAAATCCCTTCCGAGGGAAACTTGGCCTACTACCAAAGAGTGCTGGATCTGAACCAGAAGCAGGAAGATTTGTTATCGGCTTACGTAAAAGGAAGGTGACAGAAACGAGGTGGATTCTTATGTGGAAAAATCAGTCAAATCTGATTTTAAAATCTTTCTTTTTCACTCACTGTGCGTTTTACACCTCTCTGCATTTAATCGTTAGTTATCGTTAATCTCTGCCTCTCTTCCACAGCCTGTCTTTGTCCTGCCTTCCTCCCCTCACCCTCAAACGGTCATGGCAGAAGGCTGATTGTTGGGGTTTTCTCTGTATTATTGTAGGATCTATGCAATATAAAGGGTGTTGAGGCAACTGTTGTTGATTGTTGGTTGTTGTTGTGATTTGGCACTAAATAAATAAAACAGAATTTAAAAAATTGACAACTGAACTGATTTTCCATGTAATGACCCAGGGGCCAGTTATATGGACAGCACAACAGATGAACCAGTTTTTGTCTGCTTGGTTTGAAGTGAACTGGGATGTCATGAGATGATTCTCCTGAATCTTCTTCAATTTAGTGAAAGATTCAGGAGAAAAGTCAGTAACCTTTCAAAAGAAAATAAAAGTAAGAGTAAGAGTAAAAGTAAGAAAAAATTATATTTAGCTTGAATAAAAAGAGAAAACATGCTGGGAAACAAAGGATTAGTAAACAGACGAGTCTGGAGCAGCTGCATACCTGCATCCAGAAGAAGAGTCTTTTGGAGCCAGCTTTGAACTTCAGCACATAGACTCGTCCGGTAGTGCACTGATTCACCCGTTTGAACTCGCAGTCATCAGGAAAGATGATCAGGTCCTAAATTGGCAAATGGAAATGACTGCTGTGATATTAAGAAATTCAAACACCAGTTAACCTCATCCGGATGGCGTTACCTACATCGTCCACGTTCCCGGTGGTCCGATCCTTCCAGCAGAAATGGATGAGGGAGTCGTCCGTCTGTTGGATGTAGACCTGACCTTTACGCTTGTCAGGCGTCACCGTGCTGCCCTTCATGGTCATCTTACCAGCACGAAACTCCACCAGGTACTTACTGGAGGAGCCGCGGGACCCAGACACCATGCTGGGGAACAACGCTCCAGAGGCCATGATGATGACGATGATAAGCACTGACTGGTTTACAGCTGCTTTAGTGACCTAAATATTACAATAAAATAACATATAATTATGTTATGGTCCACAATCTTATTCTCTGTGCTTATAATGAGTCAAATAATAATCTTCTCAGATTTTATGACTCTATGATCCTTTCTTTGTAACATCTGTTTGTCTGCAGCAGATAAGATGATCACAGCAGTACAGATTACATAATATATTTGTTTTTTCCTCATTTTTTTATATTTCATCCTTTTCATGAGCTATTTTGTGACTTTGCATTCAAACTAAACTCAACCTTCTCTGTTTATCACGAACATTGAGGCGATGCATCACGTTGCACAGCACACCCAGCCTCTCTGTATCGACAACGTCTGGTCACTGACCATCTAACTCCATCTTCTTACCCACGCTACAACAAGAAGTCTCTATAAACTTCGTTTGTACTTTAAGTGAAGCTTCACATTCAAGCGCAGCAGAAGGGAAAGCAGCTTCAAACTCTGTTTTCTAGCATCACACTAGAAATATTAGTTCTGATCTGTCCATCATAAAATGAAAATGACACCAAACTTCACACTCGTTCCTTTTATGAGAGGCTTTTATATGCAAGGAGCAGCTCTATTTACTTTGAACCCTCTAAGCACTCTTCTCCCTGTTCACAAATGACAGCACCTCAGAAGGGCTGTCTGCAGATTGTGATGTTTGCGATGACACGATGGTCATGAGTCTGATGACCTCTTCCAACCTCCCCACTCTGGTAGGCGCTACAGATCAGTCTACACCAAAGCAAGGTTTGGAGATAGTCCTACTTCTTCATTATTCCATCCACTTTGTGTGGCGAAATGACTGCAAAAAAGCTGCAGAGCACGATGCTACTACCACCATGCTTGACAGCTTACATAGTCTGAAAGTCTCACCTTTATTCCTACAAACACACCTCTCTCATCTTTTTTGATTGGCAACCTTTTCAGTCAATTTTCTGTCCTTATTCTGATTTCCATCAGGTAGGATATTTTTTCTCCTTACCTAGAGTCCTTGAAATTATAAAATATTCTTGGCAATATATTATCAGCATAAATTCTCACATTTTAGAGGAGGTAAATGTTTGATAGTTCTGACTGAGACAATACCTGAAAGCTAAATCCATTTGTGGGATTTGTTCTGAAGTATAATCATTGCAGCTTTATAACACACACCCTACTCATGCATTGGATGAAACGCTGTGTAACCACGATGGAGACTAGTATTACCCAGCATTTACAATCATCGCAGACCTTCATTCTGGTCTGCATTTGGATTTTTGAAGCCTAACAGCCAATTTCATGTAAACTTGTCATTGTGTTAGAAGCATTAAGGATTAACACAGCTCTGCTACATCATCGTGATCCATGTAAATCTAACTAAGACTGCATATTTGATAATGTAACTGGAGTTAAACCACTGCTTCCATAATAACAACAGGGACAGGAGCAGCCTCCAGCCCCTCACAGATGACTCTGCATCCCGCAGCCCGTCCTAAGCTACGTGAGGTCGAGCCCGGGCTGTGGCTCTAAATTCACACACAGAGAAAATAAACCTGTTCCCGTAGTCCACGTTACCAAATTCAAACATTTACACGTAAAGAAATAAGATGTTTTTACTCACGGTTCTCTCTGAAATATCGTTCGGCCGCAGAAAGGTCGGGCTCGGCGTCGGCAACTTTGATAGGCTGAGCGGTGCCGGTGCTTCGCTGTGATTGGTGGAATCATGTGTCAATAAAGGGGACTTTAAATCCGTTGCGCACGTTTGGTTGAGATAACACGAGCCACTCGTTTTACGTATCAAACCTGCAGGTTTGGAGATTTTCATACGTTTACTGAGCTCAGCAAAACATTTTACAGTTACAGTCTGATGAAACAACAAAGATCTTGTGGAATAAAGTCAATCTGAAAGCAGGAAAACTGTATTAAAGGAAAGTATTTTGAGTGATTAGGGCTCCATGCCATAACTTCCACTTCTGCCTATAGTGAACCCAAGGTGCACAGACCCCATTAAACTAGAGCTGGGAGGTCAAAAACTCTGATATATCCAGCTTTAAAATAAAATGCAGGCTTCAGGTTTGGCATTTAGCAAGTGGAGGACAATAATATTATTGGATGCAACTTTGCCAACTGCCTCTGAGTAAATCTTGAGAGGATGAATGGAAGCTGAAGGCTGTAATTATGGTCTTACATGATAGTCTTCGTGCACATCTGTAATTATGGTTAATATGAAGGCAACAAGTTCAGCTGCAGCTCGGTTTTGACACACACCATCTTTGCCTTTGCCTGAAATAGAAAAATAAATAGCTTTCTATTTATTTTAGGCATAGGATTAAGAAGCAAGTGAACTCACACTTTACTTGAACCTTCGCCCACTTTCTTCACATTAATGGGCTAAAAGCCAGAAGCCAGAAAAGTAAATATGGGCCAGGATAAAACGGAAATTAGCTGCAAAGTTTTGAACCACTTAAGAATAATCACCTTTGCATTTCATTGCTTTAATATTACACGCAGCACATAGCAGCCTGTATCACTGGCTCATGTGAGCAGCCCCACGTGAGCATTATTGTTTAATAAAGCTGGTGTGCTACAAATTTTAGTTTTCATGATGCAATAAATTTTTAATAAAGTTTTTTTTTTTGTCCCTAAATACTTAAAGATTCACATTTTTTTGGGCGCTGCACAGCACTACAAAAATGGTGGGTTTAACAAATGTATTGACTCATCTGTCTAGGAATTTGAAAATTTTAAACACAGCCCAGAGGTCTCAGAGGCTCAAAATTAAATGTTTTCTTCTTCTTCTTTCAGCTGCTCCCTTTACGGGTTGCCAGAGCGGATCATCTGCCTCCATCTCACCTTATTTGTAGCATCCTCCCATGTTGATTCAACCCTCTGAAATCCTCCTTCACTACATCCATTAATCTTCTCTGAGGTCTTCCTGTCTACCAGCTCCATATTCAGCATTCTTTCTTTAGTATACCCACCATCCCTCCTCTGCACATGTCCAAACCATCTCTAACTTTGTCTCCAAACTGCTCGATCTGAACGGTCCCTCCGATGTTCTCATTTCTAATCCTGTCCACTCTCTCAGTGCAAATCTTAATCTCTTCAGGTCTGCCTCCTGTCTTTCATCACTACCATCTTGTAAACCTTCCCTTTCATGCTATCCTTCTGTCACAAACCATGTGCTCCACCCTCCCTGCACTAATTTCTTCACCGTTCATGTACTGTCTGTTACTTTGGATGGTTGAGCTAGGCATTTAAACTCATCTACCTTCCCTGCCTCTGCTTCTTGCATTATTCTGTTTTGCCTCTGCTGATGTTTATTCCTCTTCTCTATAAAGCATCCATAGCTCTCCAGAGTCTCTCCCACCTGCTTGCTACTCTTACTACAGATCACAGCATCATCTACAAACATCAATACCAAAATCAATACCAGTACACTTCTTTTCCACTATTATATAAAACTAAAAATGGCCTTAAATCTTTTTTAAATTGTTAATTAAAAGACAAAAATGAGAAGTAGTGTCGTGTGGTGGTTATGAGAGAAAAACATCTGGAGAGAATAACCAGATTTTCCAACACAAGGATTTTGTAGTCCATAATTTATTTCTTAAATATGCTTTGTATGCATACGGCTGTGTGGATACCAGTATGAAGAGGAAAGGAAACAACAGATCGACAAACATACAATGTAAACATTTTCAAAAAGAGGCTCGACAAAGAGACAGCGGGGGATAAAACAAGATCGGATCAGATTGATCCTGCAGCTCTGAGCGGCTGCAGGAGTCACAAAGTGCTTTGAATTCAGAGTAAAGACACGAACAGCAGCAGAGGGGAAGACGTGATGTGGGATATTTCACCGTACATATGTGCACAGGACAGTGAGCATTTGAAAATGTGCAGTTTAATGCAACACTAGTGCTTAGAAACAAAAAGAAACTACTGTGAGCATTTTACTACCAGCACACAATATTCATTACCTGCTGCCTCTGTAGTGTCTCCAGCACACAGGCTGCTAGCTAAAGAGTGTTTTATTTCACATTTCAGGAGGGTAGACTGGAAGGATCAGTTTGCATAGGTTCATGATGCCTACAGCATCCCGTCTTATTTGCTTTTAACTGTGTCTGAAAGCACGGCTCCGATTGGTGGAAAAATGATGCAGCTTTGTCTTTAAGGGGACAGATTATGCTCATTCCCAGCTTCATGTTTTCTTTTTTGGACTGTACTGGAGTAGCTCTGCATGACTCACAGTTCAAAATAATCCCATCTTACACATGGCTCATTCAGTTTACTTGTGTCTAAATCACAAAAAACATAAAAGACATACACAGCAACAGGGACGTCACCCAGTGTTGAATGAAGTCCTGCTATGAAGCCTCGAGCTGAACATTTTCATTACTTTGGTGTTTTGAAATCAGGTGTGAGGAGCAAAAAGCAGCTCTGACTTACTATCAATCACATGACCATAAGTTACCAAAGTGCTCTATTGAACATGATCTGAATCTAGTACATGACTCTATAAACACACCAGCAAACTGTTTACTGAGTAAGCAAGGATTCCAGTCGCCCTCTGGTGGCCATTAAAAAGACTACAGGGTTAAAATACAAAGCTACAGCTATCTTTTATACTTTCTACCTCTGAACAAAGTGTTTATCTCAGAACTACTGTTCTTCTGATTGGCTGCTCCTTGCAGGTGGGTGGGGCCTTAGTGCCTAGGACCATAGCTGTTGACCAAATTAGGGATATCCACTCTCACTAGTATCACATGGAGTGAAGAGTAGGAAAAAAAAAAGTCTGAAAATGAATGTTTATAGCAGTCTGAACTTTTGGCTCACAGGGATCATTGTACAAACAAAGGGCACAACACAGTCACTTTAAAGCCGAGGTGTTCAAACTATGGAGTGCACCTTCAATGGTGGAGCAGTGAGATAGATGCCTCTACTCTTTCTCAGGCCAATGTGAACAGATGGCTGTAATCTTTTTACATTTTTAGTGTTAGTTTAACTTATATTTCCAGAGGATATCATTATGTAAATATCCAACAATCCACTCAGAACAAAAGATGCCCTCTATCACTGCAGAACTTGCCAGAGAATTTTTACATTATCTACAGTATTAAAGTATCCCTGTCGCAGTGGCCTGTACGTCCACGGGTACAACCCTCCAAAAAACCTCAGAATAACTAATTTGGCGTAGTTTTTAAATGGCAGGCATTTGCTAAAAATGTAAACAAATTTAAAAAAGAAAAAGAAAACGGGACTCAAGCTGTAGTTGAAAGCTTATTAACCATTTTCATGGAAACATTATCATACGTTTACGGTCCTATAAGCTCCAAAGGGAAGTTAGAGCAGAAAATCAGTGTGTTCATTATTATAAGTATTACATTTGATGTTTAATATTGTTTGGCAGCACCAAAGCTCAGAGCATTATTAAAAATATGTATTTAATGCAGTGTTTACACTTGGTTTTAAAAAGCCACTCTGGAAATTGGAACACAAGTGAACAGTCAAGACTCATCACAGTGTTGCCTCCATGGATCGGACCACATGTGCTCAGACTTCCTTACAATCTGTGTTACCTCCATTAGAAGGTCAAAGTGCCCCAAGTATTCACCTGTCTGTCATCAGTCAAGAGTCTGGAGAATCCAGATGTAGAGACTGGCAGGCAAAGTTTTAAAAATGGTGCACAACACAAAAAGAAAAACCACCACGTCCTGGCTTGATGGTTTGTAAGAGATAAAGTAGCCTCTCTGACATCATGCAGCTGTTTTAGAAACCTCAACATCAACGTTTTAGCCACCACGATATCTGGATGAGAGGGTGGAGCAATGAGTGATCAGTCAAGGCTAGCAAGCTTTGTCAGAAAGTTGCATACATTCAGTGCAAGAGACACATATCTGCAGACTAGAGCTGAATGACACACAAATAAAAATAAAGAAAATAAGGAACACAGACTGCATAATTTGTCAGATAATCTAACTAAAAATGCTCCAACAGCACAAACAGATTGGATAAGTCCAGTTCAGGGCTTTGCAGCTGCCTGTAGTGACACACCTGCCAAACTAATTTATCCCCAACTTAGCCTCGCTAGCATTGAAAGGGTTGAGTTTAAAAGATAAAAATAAAATATGAGGGAATCAAAGGAAGAAGGAGCCGTAAACACGCTTATTAATGATGTAAAGTTGGGCATTTTATCATGGGAGCCTGTGGGGACTGAGTTGCTTTTGGAGCCAGTCTCAAGTTGTTATTAGAGGGGCTGCAGTTTTTGGCACTTTGCGCTCTGGGACTGAAAATGAGGCCAACGCAGAAATGCCAAAAAAACTCAAAAAAATTAATTCCTCAAGTAGAACTAAAGCTTCAGATATGGAGACAACTTGTTTACAGCTCGTTATAGAAAAAGTGCTGTCACTACATGTGGACAGTTTGTGCTTCATAACAACAACTGGATGCAGGTGAGACTAAAGGCTGGGGCGTGACAGGTGCATAGACACAGGCAGCAGCAGCCTCACCTCACCCAAGTCACTGAGCTGGACCTTATCACTGTGTTTCTGCTATTTTGGAACATTTTGATAGAATTATCAGATAAAAGTAGGGTAGCAGCAAAGGCAGAGAAAACCCTCATTAACTTCCAATGCACACCCAGAAGTTAGTGAGATATACAGGCCTGAAATATGACAGAAACCACTTCGATCACAAAAGAGTGACAAGGGTTATTCCTAGTAGGGTTTCAAGGGATAAAGAGTCATAACGAGCAGCAGAGCAACACGCTAATGTTGAGGCTTTAATGTGCACCCAGAAAAAGTCCAGAAACCAGTGGGTGGTGTCACAGTAGCTAGCTCCAACTCTATTGTTCACAGTGCCTCCCAGACCACACAGAGATGGGCCATAAGCCATATCACTTGCTTATATACTCGTATTTAATGCGGTGTATTTGGACCTGACACATTTTAAAACCAAGTGTAAACACGGTCTGACACTCTGTCCGTTCACCCACAGATATTTACTGTGCATTGGGAACATTTTCACAGTGTGTGAGTGGTGAAGAAGCCAGGGAGGCGGCCAGTGTCAGACTTTTTAAAACGTCTCGTTTCTGCATCCCTTTGCCTTAAAGGTTTATATAGAGGCTTTTATTCTCAGTGCAGAAAAAGGTTTTTGTATGGCTTTAACTTGTGGAAATTAGGATGTTGGTGAGCATGCATGCACCGGTTATTATACACATTACCTATGTTACAGCGGAGAACAATATAATGTACCAACGTATCTGTTTACTGAGGCAGTAAACGTGGTTATAAGCAGCTTTCATTTCTACTATAAGTCTCTATTCACAGAAACACTTTGTGACATTTTCTTTGATGTTAAGTGCTAACTAAAACAGACATCTAGGTTATATAAAAGTAGCAGATGCGATTAAATAACCCCTGATATTTGAATGCAGCTTGACAGAAGAGCGTGGAACATCTACAGGTGAGATTATGGTACCCGAGTACCCGAACTAAAACTGAAAATATTTCCTTTGCATCCTCCACCAGGTAGCTCACCACGCCACAGATCACATTGGTGGCTGCTTTTAAACCCTTGGATGAGTGAATGGTGAGTAACATACATGTTTAGGGCATATAGAGAAGATGTTTGATGTTTACAGTAAGTAAACTCTACAGTTCTCTTTAGTGTTACACATCTCCTGCAGACAAATGTCACAGTCAGCTGGAGATGATCTGATAACCTGTTTGAAATCAACTTTCATCGATCCTAACAAAGACACAGTACCAGCGAGCGTCTGGCTGTCACGACTCACAGAGAAACAAAATGAAACCTATCAAAGAGAAGATTTTTTTGTTTGTTTTTTTGTTTTAAACACCAAACACCTCCTGTGTCAATAAATGTTGGGACAGTCAGTGAAGTTCCTGTCAAAGTATCCACCTGTGTACAGCCAGTCCTCGGCTCCTGTGTGAGGGTTTGTTCCCATCTGGAACCACCTGAGGAGGCAGACAACAAACCATATCTGTTTTTAATAACATGGTTACGAAAAATGATGCACAGCATGAGCAATTAGTGTGTTGGGGACACATTAAAGGAAGTTTCCACACATTACAAATTAGAATTTGAATGCAAATTTTTGTCAATCTCCCCTTTAAAGTCATCTTCATTTGCTTATTATTGTTTTATTTTTCTTCAGTCTTTATTTAACCAGTAAATGTCAACAAAGCAGATCATTGCAGGTCTAAAAGTAATTATAGCATAAACAGACTTTGGTGTTTCCTACACCAAATGTGAATCTGAAATAAATGTTAAGACACGAAGAAAAACAAGCTGTGGAGCAAACAATACGAACACAATCAGCTGCTAAAATATGGAGAGACAATACTTTTCCTTTTACATAGTGCACAATATGCACTCTGAAAGAAATCATATGATCATCTTTCTGGTAGTTCTGCTTGTTCCAAATGGCTCCATTTCAAAAAGCTCCAGTTTCTTTGAAGAAATACCCAATATTTTCCCAAATCACCATGATGTTGGCTAAATTCACTCCTGAGCATTTTGGGCAAATATTTCAAACTTAAGTAAAGAGAAGGGAGGCGCATTTCTGGAGTGATTAACTGTTTGGCCAGGACAGTCATTCACAGAGTCATCTGCAAACTGTTAGCTTACTTTAATTAGATTTGTCAATCTATCTGTCAGGCCGACAGAATGTTTCAGTATTTAAAAGTTTATTTTGTAGTGATTTATAATTTTATTGAACTTTATATGCAATCCCAGCATTAACTGGAACAATAAACTGAAGATACTGCAGATGTTAGCTATGTGCTTCAATCTGGTAAATGGATGTCACCCACTTTATTAATTCCTGCATTATAAAGTCCTGACTCCAATAAATAAAAGCTCTATGGTTCAAATGGGTCTAGCTAGTTATTTCCATCTGTAAAATGCATCACTCAAGCATTGCTGGTAGAAAATGAAATTTTGCTCACTGTGTTTCATGCTAGAGGTAAAGTAAATCTTATTTGGTCTGATAATACTGACATATAGAGTACTCAAACATGACATTGTCATGCTACAAGTGTATGAAATCATAAAATTGGTCTATAAAAAAACCTCCCCAAATCTCTTGAAATCCTCAGAACCTCTCACCTGGTTGACCACTCCTCCTCGTCCTTGGATCGTTCCCTGCGTGCAGCTCTCTGTTTCTCCTCTAAACGCTCTTTCTCAGAACTCGCCAAATCTATAAACACACAAATACAAAAGAAACTTTGAGAGAAGGTCAGACTGAAACAATAACTCGACTTCACCTTTGGCCACTGTGTTTGTATAAACTAGGAGGCTGATAATTTTGTAATCTTTCCCTACATGGTCTTTTTAACATATTAGGCCTGGGTGGTATGGCCAAAGATTCTAGCAGTTTTATAGTATACCATCATATTATTATTATTAGTTTTACTTTTGTGTAAATGGGTCTTTATATTGACTCATTCTTTTGTCAGGCATCTTTAGGATAAAACATATTTTTGAAGTCACCATAAAGAAGAAATAAACCCTAAATAAAAAAAAAAACCTATTTTAGAGAACAAATACAGTAACTACTTGGAGAAAGAAGTCAGTCCTTAACAGGTTGCCTCTTCTGCTTTTTGGTTAGATGTCATGCCACTTATTTGTTTAAAAGTAAGCTCTACTGTTTCCACAGAGGAGCTGTGAACCTGAAACAAACTCCATTCTGTTTCAGAGTCTCATGGCAGAGCTGATCATGAAAGCAAAGCTGTAAAACTTTCTAGTTGATCCATGTTCATTTATTGCCACGAAGTGACCAAAATAATGAGATGGTGGATAAAAGCACTAGAAAAGAGCTTCCTCTGTAGAATGTCTGGGCTCTCCCTTAGAAATCGGGCCAAGAGCTCAGAGTCCAGCTGCTCCACATCTAAAGAAGTCAGTTGATGTGGTTTGGCCTGTCTGATTAGGATGCCTCCTTGTTAAGGTGTTTAAGGCATGTCCAACTGGGAGGATGTCCTGCAGCAGACCCAGACATGATGGAGAGTTCGGCTTTCTCTGTTGGGTTGGGGATGCTTCAGTGTCTCTCCTTCAAAGATGAGGTGTCTGACACATCATGAAAAGTTTACTGCTCAACACTATTTTTTACTAGAAATACCTGTATAAATACACCCGTAGTGTTGATGGAGGTTACCAGACTTATCCATTATGCTCATCACAGAGAATTTTACTCAGATCACAAAAAATATGTTTAGGACCAACAAATTTTAAGGTATGTTATGACTAAGGGGTAAGTCACACTGTCATGGTCCTGGGCCATGTTGGCCCAGTATTCTTAGTTTTCGTGTGTTTTGTATTTTGTTCTTTATTTATGCCTTGGTTCCTAGGTTGTTTAGTTAACATGTTCCTTATTTGATTACCCCCTGTGTGCCCCTCTGTCTTCCCGTGAGTTTGCGTTTGGGTCCTCTCCTGCCTGCACACAGCCTGATCATGACACACACAGGACATGGCAGTCATAACAAACACTGGGTGAGGGTGACTTGGGTGAGGTGAATACGATTCTCAGAATTTGCTAACTCATTCCTGCTTGTCATTTTATCACCTGTTAAGCTCAATGTAGACCAAAATGACCCTCAGGGCACCAGGAATTATCCCGGTGCTCCTGACGGGCCCCTGTTCCACAGTTTTAGAGGCTCATAGTGTCCTGGTCACCAAAAAGTACACATGTACAGTTTCAGCTGTTCTCTTTTCAGGTGAGGTTGACGTTACCTATGTCTCCGCTCTCCATCGCTCTGATGTCAGGCCTCAGCCGGCAGTCTGTTGGCGACAGCAGTCTCTCCATGCCGGGCTCTAGCTCGTTTAGTGTTATGGCAAAGCTGGTGAAGTTATACATCTATAAAAAGGGAGAAAGGGCTTTGTTCAAACAGTGCTGCATCCGATTATGTAACAATAAAAGTAAAAGTAATACTCTGCTTCAAGAGCACATTTTTATTCTTGACCTTAACTGCAGCTCTGAACCATTCACAGATACCTAAAATATTTTTTTATGCAATACTTTACATGAACTGGTCCAATGACAACTGAACAACATCACCTCACTTTTCCAGATGTTCATCCTTTATATTATCTACATGAATAAAATACCAACTAGGGGCGGTAAATATTTTCAAACATTCAAGAAATCTTTTAGTAATTGGGCTGATTTTTTTGTCCTAAAATGTATATATTATTATTATTATTATTATTATTATTATTATTGTTATTTTTAATGGCACCTAGCAGAATGTTATGTGGTCCTATTGCCACAATGCATGTCAAAAGTTATACAAAAATGGAAACTAAAATGTGAAATAACATTTGGTGTTAACTCCATGAGGTAAAGCTAGCATGTCACACGTCTTCCACAGTTATACATATGTGAGAGCAGATTGTGTGGTCATTCCATAGGAAAGATATCACCAATGTCTCCCACCTGACACCCAAGACCCTCAGAATGAGCCGTGCATCTGTACAACACCTTCAGCATAACTTCGACGTCACAGGTACATCGTAACGGCAAACTCTTATGAAACCCAACATTGTAACTTGCACAGTAACCTGACATGTGCTTCCCTACAGGTCACCAGTGTCGGAGGTAGAGTGGTGGATCGATCCCAGATACCTCTCACATGCTGAAGTGTCCTTGGGTTAGGTGTGTGAATTTTAAAAAGCAATTAGTCTTAGATAAAAGGGTAGAATCAATTTAAGTGGGTGAATGAGACCTGTAGAAACCACTTTGAGTGCTCAATTGAGTAGAAAGGCTGTTTATCTGAACCAGTCCATTTACTGTGACAGGCACAAACAGCACAAACAGTGAGGGAGTTATGGCCATTTAAAGAGCGCTTGTAAAATGGGCCCTCCGGTCGGTTCGATGGTAAAAAAGACTCAAGTCATCTAATTTTTTCCAGGATTTTTAAACCATCAAAAGAGGCATGAAATCTTCAGGACTGAAAAGCAGATTTAAGCTTTGTTGCAAATGATCATGAGATCAATTAAGTGCTTCCCTTTAAAGCTTAGTAAAGTTAAACTTTAGGCACTCTTTGTGCAAAAAGATGAGCAGCAAATTTCAAAGAAAGCACCATGTGATCGTATAATTTTGCATGGCCTCATTAAATATACTAAAGCAAGCTCATTATGAGGGTGTGAAGCAGGGATTTTTATTATATTTAGCTAATTTTATACAGTCAAATACTTTCCAGTGATAACTGAACAATATTTCTGCAGGAAATGTCAAACCTCATCACCGACCTGTGCTGAGTGAGCGGGCCGAGATGTTATCCTCCACAGTAAGGCACTTCCTGGTATCACAGTCACAGTCTCTTGAACTTCTGGCATCTCATCTGCCTCCTCTGCTTCACAGCTACGCTCCTACACACACAGAAACAGACACAGAGCTAGTTAAACAACTCCGTCTCACGAGTTTGGGTTTACATTACAAACAGTTCATGTGCAAACGGGTGATTAACAGAACTACGGTCGCCACAAATTCAACACGTCTCTCAAGCAACGATGCATGTCATTGCAAGACATCATGGATTAGTGCTGGCAATGATCTAATCAACACTACACTCTCAACATAACTAGACAACAGCAGCAGCACACTACAGATATCAATACACTTTCACCTTACCTTCTACTAAAGCCACTGCATGTTATTGTGAAAGGAAAAGATGCAGTTTAAGAGAAGAATTTCAGAGTTGTGAGAAAAAGTCACACATCAAACATGTTAAAGAGAAACGTGAGAGCAAACTCAGAGGGATTTCATCTCAGCTTTCAGTAAAAGCAGAAACGATCCTCACCTGTCTCAGCTTCTTTGACTCGCCCCCGCTCTTCTTCTCCGACTTCTTGTACGCTTCGTAAACCTTGGGGTCCACGCTGTACATGCACTCTGTCCATTTCCCATACATAACTCTCCGCTTCTTCTTACTGTTTCAACAACAACAAACTCCATTTAGAGAAAACCAACACGACTAAAATTCACAGACAGTGATGGTGTGGTTACATTCTTACCTTTTATCTTGGATATGACCTTCTACTTTGTGCAGTTCCTTTCCAAACATCCCACAGGGTTTGAAGTTTAGGACACACTTATCACCCGTCCTGAAGAATTAAAGGCAAAATTATTGTTTAATAAATATCAGTGATTCAAAAAGCTGTAAGTTTTCAATACAAGTTTCCATTACCTGTGGTTGACTATCTCTACAGTTCCATACTGTTCAATCCAGAGTTTTCCCAGGATGATGTTATGCACACAGCACATTGGATTCGTCCACGTGTAAGCTTCTTTATGTCTGTCACAAAATCACAACATCTTAAAGGAACAGTTCGACATTTTCTAAATAATAATAAAAACTTCAGCACTCACAACTACATATATAATGTATTTAATATAACACAGCAGTGAGAAAAAAAGATGTAAATCAGCCCGTGGCTTTCCCCTGCTGTGCTATATTAAATACATGAAATACAAAATACAAGTTCGAGAGTTAAGCATGCTGTGGTTTTTTTTCTAAAATGATATATACATGTGAGAAGATTTTCACACAATTTGTGAAGTTAGCGTTTTACTCAACAACCCAAAAGAAGTGGAAAATAACCAATAACGCTTATTTTTCAGCAGGGAATATATTAATAAAGCCCTCATTTTATCTGTCAAACACTCAGCTTATTACATTTCATTGAGCTAATAACTCTGCTGAATACAAGCTTAAGGAAGACAGATTTTTATATCAATGGTTCATCATTTCACATCTAAATATAATTTAAAAGTCTCAAAA